CTACAATAACGCTAAAAGTTAGTCGATGTTTGTAAGTTTCTGAGAGCCGGACCTACATCACGTCTTGCTGTTTCATTGTATCAGCAAGGTAAAGACCAGGGCGTTTCTAAGACGAGCAAAGGAGAGAGGAGGATGAGGAGAAAGGGCGGGATACAGAGGGCGGAGGCACGGGAACATGATGATAACGAGGATGACAAGAAGGAGAAGGATGGCGGACGGCACGAGGACGATAAACGACGAGCAAAACGAAAGAAGATACCGACGCGAAACACGACGATAACGACGGTGACGTTGACGGCGTCGGACGACGTGCGACCAACGACGGACGACAGACGGCGGACGCTTTCGAAGGCACGGCGAAACCAAACAGGTCGCCTGCCCCTGAGGACACGTCTCATCTCCTCCTCTGATTGCTCTTCCCCCACCTAGGCTAGGACCCGAACGCGCGCGAAACGCGCGCGATGGTTTTAGTATATGTTTGCAAATGTGCATGTCTCAATCAGATTTTGACTTCAGCATTGGCCCCTCATTGTTCGACATCCAGCCCAATCATGGTTGATATAGCTAATCAGTTGCGTATATTACAATGGAAACCCATGCCAAGAAACATCATGCTTGCCTCCTGGGTGTCTTGGGTGTCGCTGGGTTTCCTATGGGCAGCATGACGCTCCCATATTAAAATCATTGATATCTTGGGGTCTCAAGGTTTTGTGGAAGGTTTCTTGTGGTCAAGCTCCTATTGTATTGCTTGATCGGCTTGCTTGTCCTGCGCTGTTACCATGCAGGCTTCTCAGGAGGTGCTCCCTGACCACTTCCTCCCCCCCCCCTCTCCCCGCCTCCCTTTCCTCCTGGCCTTCCATCCGCCCTGCTTCGCTCGTGCGGCGAAGGTTGGCTGCGCTCGGAGGGAGGTAGGGGGGAGGGGGGGCCGTTTCTTAAAATGGAGGCCGTTTCTTGGAAGGCGGCCGCCTCACATGTATAGATGAGGCCCGCGCATTCTGAGAAGCGGGGGGTGCTTCTAGAAGCCTCCCCCCCCTCCCCTAGATCCCCCCCTCTGCGCGCAGCCAAAGAGGGCAGGGGAGGCTGGGGCAAAGAGGAGGGCTGGTCCTGCGAGCCCTGCTGGCAGCGCTACCTCGAGCGGCACAAGCAGTGGTACCTGGACGCGAGCCCTTCGGCCGTGGGCTCGGCTCCGTTTGCCGAGCGTGGCGAGGTGGAGCAGGACAAAGGGGAGGAGGGAGGAGAAGCAGGGGGGACACAGGAGAGGAGGGATGAGGAGGAGGAGGAGGAGGAGGAGGAGGAGGAGGAGGAGGAAGAAGAGGGGGACGGAGGAGGAAGAGGAGGAAGAGGAGGAGGAGGGAGGAGGGAGGATGGAGAAGGGAGGAGGGAGGATGGAGGAGGGTGGAGGGAGGAGGGAGGAGGGAGGCGGAGGAGGAGGAGGAAGAGGAGGAGGAGGCGGAGGAGGAAAAGGAAGGCGAGGGGGATGGGAGAATGGGCGAGGGACGAGGGATCAGGAGGAGGAGGAGGTATATGCATGGAGGAGGAGGAGGAGGAATATGAGGTTGAGGTGTTAAAGTGTGCAGTGGCAACTGGGAAAGCAAGGTGGATGCCAGTGGGTGCATCAACGCAACCATCAGGCTCACTCTTTTAACGTTCGGAAGTCTCATTCGACCGAGCGTCGCAAGCAAAACACACGCGCACTACTACGCTGAATCCTTATGGATATGTTGCCTGGTAGCGGAGCGCCGGTTGCAATGGCAGGGCCAGGGTCAGCTGCCTTTACCCCAGGGCCGCAGGACGCACCAGTTGAATTCCGCGTGCCTGCGGATCGAGAGGCCTGGATTAAATTGAACGCCCAGAAGTGTATGGACATGTGTGTATCGTCAACCGTCGCTGGAAATCTTCCCATGTGAAGAGCGCTGCGTGCCACCCAACCGCATCCCCACGGATTCCAAGGAGGTTACACCGCAAGAAGCTTTCAATCTGCTACAGATGCAGAAGAAGATGGGCGCCATGCTGATGAGTGTCGCTAACCGACACGCAGTGGTGGAACGAGAAAAGCGCAGTCTTCACCGACGGTTTGAGAGCATGGCGGCGAATACGACTACACACGGCGACATCTTGAGTTAGATCTCCACGATATGCGATGCCTTCTATAACAGCAGCGGAGGAACCATGAAGAGGTGACAACAGCGAGCCTTCTACGAATGTCAAGACCCTGCATAACCTCAAAGTTTTTTACAGGCGACGCGTAGAAGTTCAGAAAGTGGAGCGACAACTTAATCGATGCTCTGGCACAGGTGCGGTTTAATACCGTGGGGCAGTTGACTCCCTCAACAGGAAATTGGGGACAGTGGACGGAGTCGTGCCTGAGAAAGATCTGGGGGAAGCGCTACGATTCTAAATGGGCGACTAACACGCGCCGAGCACCAGAAGGCCTGCGTGGCCAGAAAGCAGCAGGACGATGACGAAGGGGAGTTTGAGTTTACCGACGAGGGCATGCACAAACTCGATGGGGAACCTTGGCACGTCCTCGTTGAAAATGTCGAAAGACCCGACGCACGCGGCAACTCGAAAGATTACCGGACGGATGTGGACTTGCCGCGTATCAGAAGATCTACAATGCGTATTCGGCAGTTACGGGAGTTCACGCCCGCGCAAAGGATCTCCCAGAAAATATGCTCCAAACGGACCGAGCGAGTTACATAAGTGCCGGGCGAACTGGAAGAATGGAGTGTTTTGGTGCAGGCGTTGGAAAAACAAAGGGTGCGCACGTGTTGCCCCTGCCTTTCAGAATCGCTGCCCTCCGCGCGATCATGAGCCAGGCAGTTGACTGGTTTGACGAATGGCAACAGGGGCTTTACTTTACGGCTGATGGCATCAACGCAGACATTTACCAGAAATTCGACTCTAAATGTGAAGACTGGGCCAGGAAGCAGACATTAGAGATTGTCACGAAAGATGACGATGCCATGGCCGTACGAGGTATTGAGAAGGCCTTTGACGGCTCCAGCGACCGAGCGAGTTACCAGACAGGTGGCTGGGATACTCAAGGATGGGTTGACGATGATGGTAAATGGTGGTCCGACGACGCTTAGTGGCAAGGTGAGACTGAAAACGAGAATGACGATGTGGACGCGGCCACTAAAGGCAAAAGGAAGGGTTTCAAATGTTACACTTGCGGCGGATTCGGGCACTTAGCCGAAGACTGTCGAACGCCCAATAATTACAAGGGCGGGGGGAAAGGAAGCAAAGGGGCGAAAAGGCCAAGGAAGCAACTGCCTCAAGAAAACACGGAAGGAAGGCCAAACTTGATGACTATGTTGTTACGGCGGCAAAGGGTTCGTTCAGCATGCCGACCGCGGGTGCTACAAGTGCGGAGGCAAGGGGCGCATGGCCGTTAACTGCCCGAAGTCGGCCAAAGAAGTTGAGCAGAGTAACGGAGAGAACGTGGAGCCCACCATGCTCGGACAACCGCGAGAGTATGATCTCGTGGGTTTAACGAGCGCGGATGACTACATGGAAGCAGTGATGATTTCTGCGACTCCACCGACTATTATGGAGCCGCTAGAGTAATGGAACAAACAGAGGCATGAAAAGAACAGGACTTGCATAATCGGAGCCCTGAGATTGCGCAAACTTCACCAACTGCATCAGCGTGAAGACGGCTGCAACCATGGAGGTGAATGTATTCTCAACAGTGCCAAGCATGGCAGCTGTAATTGGTCACCGAAGGGTTGAGACGCAGGGCCTGTGAGGGCCCAGAGGAGCGCGCGGGCGGTTGACGCGGTGCCGCAGAGCGATGAAAAGACCGGAGGGAGCGCGATCCTGCGCGGCCAAGCTGAACAAATCTTTGAGGGGGGGTCAAAATACCAGGGCCCCCCCCCCCCCGGATACAAAAAATCAAATAAGAATTGATGAGGGGGGGGGGGGGGGGTGCAGGATGCCGGGGGGACCACCCGCGATCACCCACCCCCCAACTGCTCTCTCTCTCTCTCTCTCTCACGCACACACACCCTTTCCCCCCTAAAAAAAAACTTAGATGCCCGACACTCCTCCCAACATGGACCCCCCGGAGGATTCTCGGACCCCCCCTTCCCCTCCCCAGGCCTCCCCAGGGGGATTGGACCCCCCCAAACCCCCCCCTGCCCTGCTCGCCGCCGGCTGACGACGACGACGACGACGACGACGACGACGACGACGACGACGACGACGACAACTACACCATCGACGACGACGACGACACGAGGACATCACGACGACGACGAAGACGACGACCATGAAAACGACGACGACGACGGGCGGACCCTATCGGACGGGTCGGGCGGGCGGACCCAATCGGGCTGGTCACGCCAGGCGGGCGGGACATTAAAGTCTGATGCGTACACAGCATGACGCATGGGCACCCACGCGGGCGCGTCGGGACGGGCGGACCCCTATCGGATGTGTCGGGTCGGGCGGGCGGGACGGTAAAGTCTTGATGCGCACGCAGCGTGGCACATGAGAACCCTAACAGACGGGGCGGGGCGGGCGGACCCTATCGCGCATGTCGGGCGGACTCTAAGGGTCGCGTCGGGTCGGGCGGGCCGGACGGCATATCATGATGCGTATCCAGCATGACACGTGGGCACCCCAACGGGCAGGTCGGGGCGGGCGGACCTTTCCAGACGGGGCGACGGGACGGGTTCTACCGGGCGGGTTGGGCGGGCGGACCGTAAGGGGCGCGTCGGGTCGGGCGGGCGGGGCACTAGAATGTGATGCGTATATTGCATGACACATGAGAACCCCAACGGGCGGGTCGGATCGGGCGGGCCTCATCGGGCGGGTCGGGCGGGTGGACCCTATCGGGCGGGTCGGGCCGAGCAGGCGGGACGCGAAAATTTGATGCGTATACAGCGCGACACATGTGAACCCTGACGGGCGGGGCGGGACCGGCGGACCCTACCGGGCGGGTCGGGCGGACCCTATCGGGCGGGTCGCGTCTGGCGGGCGGGATACTAAAGTGTGATGCGTATACATCATGACACATGAGAACCCTAACGGGCGGTCGGGGCGGGCGGGCGGACCCTATCGGGCGGGTCGGGTCGGGCGGGCGGGGCGGGTCGGGACGGGCGGGCCCCATCGGGCGGGGCGGGCGGACCCTATCGGGCGGGTCGGATCGGGCGGGCGGCACACAATACAACATTACACATGAGAGCTCTAACAGGCGGGTCGGGACGGGCGGGCCCTATCGGGCGGGTCGAGCGGGCGGGACTTATCGGGCGGGTCGGGTCGGGCGGGCGGGGCGCGTCGGGACGGGCGGACCCTATCGGGCGGTCGGGCGGGCGGACCCTATCGGGCCGGTCGGGCCGGGCTCTGGCGGGTCGGGAGCAGCATGAAACATGAGAACCCCAACGGGCGGGTCGGGACTGGCGGACCCTATCGGGCGGGGCATGGCGGGTCGGACCGGCGGACCCTATCGGGCGGGCTGGGCGGGCGGACCCAATCGGGCGGGTCGGGCGGGGCGGGCGGGGCACGAAAGTCTTGACGCGTATACATCATGACACATGCGAACTCTAACGGGCGGGTCGGGACGGGTTGGCCCTGTCGGGCGGGTCGGGCAGGCGGGCCCTATCGGGCGGGTCGGGTCGGGCGGGCGGGCCACGAAAGTGAGATGCGCACACAGCGTGATACATGGGCACCCTAGCGAGCGGGTCGGGGCGGGCGGACCCTATCGGGCGGGGCGGGTACGGACGGGCGGTCGCTATCGGGCGGGTCGGGCGGGCGGGCCCTATCGGTCGGGTCGGGTCGGGTCGGGCGGGCGGGACACTAAAGTCTTGATGCGTATACAGCATGACACATGGGCACCCACGCGGGCGGGTCGGGACGGGCGGGCCCTATCGGGCGGGTCGGGCAGGCGGACCCTATCGGGTGGGTTGGGTCGGGCGGGCGGGCCAGGAAAATTCGATGCGCATACAGCATGACACATGCGAACCCTAACGGGCGGGTCGGGGCGGGCGGACCCCTATCGGGCGGGTCGGGTCGGGCGGGCGGGACACCAAGCCTGATGCGTATACAGCGTCGCCGTCGTCGTCGATAATATAATTGTCGTCGTCGTCTCTGTCGTCGTCGTCGGCGGCTGCAGGCGGATAGGGGGAGGGGTCGAAACCCCTTGGGAGGGCCCCGGGAGGGGGGGGG